CTTAAACACAGGATTTGCATTTTCTTAGCAGAATAAACTCTTTGCCTCGACTCTCTGTACTCTCACTGAAGTGGAGGTCATGGCTAGTGACAACTGGGAGCTGTTCCTGGAGGCTTTCTTGCCTTTTTAGGTTATGAGGGTCTCTGTGTGTTTAAGATAATATGACTGACAGCTCCAGTCCGGCCCCAATTAGCACCCTATAATTTATTAGCTTCTCCTTTCAGATTATGCGCTAACTTCACAAATATTTCAACCACGGAAACAGCAGCTATCAAGTGTCTCTTTCCTGATCCAGCTCACTGGGACTGCAGTTTAATACAAGGAGGGAGCTGTGCAGGTCCGTCAAGAGAGAATAATCATTTGAGTCTGTGTGCAACTGGGGCTGTCGCAGCTCTTTAGGACTTGGCCTGTGGCAAAAAAGGGTTGTTCCCTTGGATGGAGGATTAGGGCTTGGTTCCTGCCACAGGGGTATGGTGCAGGATTGAGGCCAATAGGCTGAGTCTTCTGGACAGGGTCCATGTCCAATTCCATTTATCATAGAAAAATCTGATGCTTCAACTTCATACAAACAGCAGTGATAGGAAAGTCTGTATCCCTCCTAATGTTGCTCTTTGCTCCTCCCAGCTGTAATGTGGGGCCAGAGCAGTATGTGTAGGAAGCGACTGGGTGAGGCAGGAGAACAGATTGGGGGTGAGATGCAGAGTCAGGGCTGAGGACAGATCCTATTTGGTATTTACAGTGCCTTTACCATGAATATAGCTCAGCAACTGGCACATCCCTAAAGAAATGATCCAGTCCCTTGGTCAGCTGTGGTTCTGTGGGCTGCAACCAAGCATGGCCAAGGGAGCTGCTTATGCATGAGTATGATGCCCAGAGGAGTGTACCCTTGCACCCTGCATCCCTGCACTGTGCCCAGGCTCTTCGAGTGCCTTCCGCTTGTCCCACAGGACCGGGTGCAGGGATGTCAGGGGTAGCAGGACAGGGACATGGCACCGCAGTGCCTCTCCATTACTCTCCATTTGCACGCAGAGTTTTGATGCACAGATTATGCCTGGTTAAGGAGGCAGTAGAAGGTGCACTGCAAAGGTAACTTCTTCTGTATGATTTAAGATAGACATGAGCAGGGGAGCCTTGATAGCATGAGACGCTTGTTGGTGCAGTCAGTTTAAAGAATAGTCTTACCATGCTGGGAACGAAATTAACAATAGAGTTCCCACAGCTGTAGTCCCAAAGCTTGGGGGTTGACTGAAGTAAAGCTTTTTTTAAAAAAAAAAAATAATATATTCTTTTACTTTTTTTATTTCTCTTTAACTTTTTCTTTTCTTTTTGTTCTTTATTTTCCTTTTTTTTCCTTTTTTATTTTTCTGCTGCTGAGCAAAAAAGTTGGATTTTGATCTCCTACTTGCATTTCTCTGTGCAAAATTGCCTAGCCTACAAAATAATAAACTCCTCCAAATAATCACAACTTAAGTTTCCTTCCCCTGCTGCAACTGCTCCTCTGGGTGGCAGGCCAGGGAAGCCAGCCAGGACGCCACAATCCCCCAGAGGAGCTGGCTCACCCTTCGGTAATCAAAAGGGCACGTTAATTACAACCCTTGCCCAGAAAAAGATGCATGAGAACTGCCAGTCAGAGTACCCTATTGCATTCAAAGCCATCAGCAGCATTTTCCTCCCTTCCAGGAAGGGACCAACCTTTAAGCCCTTGCTAGAGCTTGTCATGAACCTAAATAGGACTTCAAAGGGAAGGCGAGAAGGGACTGCAGTGCCTCCTGACCCAAGGAGGAGACAGGGCAGATACATTTCCCCAGAGATGGGCAGCACACAGTCTGGGGGAGGTGCCGGCGATTACTCAGGCTCTCTTTCACCCTCCCTGCCTCTTTTCCTCCTGTCCTTTGCTGGGGAATCCTACAGAAAATGCACTGCAAAAGGAGGTGAGAAGTAATCAGTGTTGCCCTAAAGCTCTTCAACATTAGACTGTAACTGCAGGGACACATATATCTACTTATCCAACAGCGCTCAGATGCATTCTTGTATCAGCAGCTACGTTGAAGCAAAACCCTCATCAAAATGAAGTGGAGCCTGAGATGACAAATATTACGTCCCATCCCCACTTCCATACTTCCCTTGACAGATCACTGGTAACCTCAGAGTTCATTTAAATGGTATTCCTACATGCTTTGTTAATTTTCAGTTATTTTCAAGATGAGAAATAAGAGTTTGCAGTGAACATGCCCAGAACTCACTTTGTGAACTCCTACAAACCTCCCTCCCTTGGCAGCAGTAGATACTCTCACAATGCCTGCTACTGCCATGCTCTGCAGATTACACCCCTCTGCTTTTTTTCCCTGGACTCTGCATGAACAGGTTGAGAGCTGTGTTTGCTCGGTTGCCTCAGCTGGGCTCTGTTTATCAGTTGTAGTGAGCAGTCAGAGAGCAAAAGCTGGTGCTAAACTCTGCACGACACTCGGAAAGAGGCAGGAGGAGGATCTGCTCCTCAAGCTGCGGGACTGGGGACTCGCAGCTCTGCTCTTTCTCTGTGTGACAGACAAGACACACAGGTTTCTTTTGTATATCCAGATTTCCTGCAAGCATTCATGATGAAGCAAGTAATAACCTATAATGCAAGGAGGAATAGAACAGACTTCCAAAAAGGCACTGAGGTTGTTTGCACTGTTACTGCCTCAGGAGCTGTGGCTCCAGTCTGCAAAGACTCATGGAAAAGCAGTAATGTAGGTGCTGTGAGTGAGTAGTCACCCTGGAGTCAGAATAACATAGGGTGAGCAAAACTCTGCAAGAATTAGCCAGAATAAGGTATCTGTGTGTTCAGACTGTAGAACATCTGAATAAGGAGCATTTTAAAAAAGTCACTTGCACATCTAACAGCTTGAGCCATGATCTTGACTTTGGTGTTTGGGTGCTTTCACAATACAGCAGCAAAGAAGAGAACAAATGTCAAAACCGATATTCATGTATTCACTGCATAAATTCTCATGCTTCAAAACACTCACAGCCAAAATGAATTGTAAATGCCAATGAAGTAAATGACTGGTTTGTGCTCACATTAATATTTCCAAACATATTTTGGCTGTATTGCCCAGCCCTCCTCATTATGAATTGCACAGGAGAGGTGGAAAAAAAAAGGGAGAAAAAAGAAACAATTGTGGGAAAGCACAATCAATGATAGAGCCAGATCAATGCTTTTTTTTTTTTTTTTAAAGACACAAAAAACCTTTAAAAACAACCTAAAAACCCCACAGGCAAATGCTCACAGAATGACCCTGCTATCTCCAAGCCTCTGCAGCAATAAAGTTAAATGCCATTTTTAGTTACCTTTCTCCTGCAAAGTGTTGCTGTCTTCTTTCTTGATAGAAGCCTCAGAACATTTTTGGTTTAACTGGTAATATAAATTCTGGAGTCCTTCCCTTGCTCTTTACAGATTGTCTGGGCTTTGGCTACTTGGAGGCTGAGGGCAAAATGCTCAGGGGTATGTCTGACTAGAGGAATCATGGCAGTTCACCTCCTGTCATTTGCTGAGTTCTGGCCGGAGATGCTCTGCACACATTGCTCCTTGCCAAGTTATCACAATATTTACTCACACTTCTTCATTGTACTCTTACTATTTTTTCCTGGAAATAGAGTTATTGCTGAGTTGAAATCTAAGAGAAGCAAGTTTGAGTTATTCATAACTCCATTTCTGACACATGGTGACCATTATGCCAGATTATATCAGAGTGTCAGAAGATAAGAATTCTCATCACAGCACGAAAGTCCATTTTCTACTGCTTCTCCTAGTGTCAGAGGATAGCGTTAGAACTCTCCTCTTACATGCATTGAACTTTGTCAGCCTTTGAAGATATTACATTAAGAAAAAAAGAAAAAACCCTCAAAAACAGAGTAGTAGTGTGATCAGATGTTTTGCCTGTAAAAAAGTCAGCTTTGAAGTGACTGTTGCACTGTTTCATTAATTATAAATCACTGTGTAATAGCATCTTAATTTATCAGTGCAATAGCAATGATAAATGCTACATTTCCCTCTTCTACCAGCTTCATCAAGAAACGTCTGTTATTATGGAACAGTCCCTTTTACTTCAGCCCATCTTGGAGATATATCATGCACTAAAATGTAGTACCAAAACAATCCTGTGATTTCTTATCTTTTGTACTTATTCCTGTATTTTTTACTCACTAAGAAAAATATTTTCAACTGCTAGTATTTCTAGCTATCTTTAATGCAAAGTAGTAAAATAACTCACTCCATTCACAAGGCAGGTATTTTTCCTATTTCGTTCTGATGTTTCCACTTTACTTAATTCCTCTTATTTAGCTTTAATTCTTCATAAAAGCACACAGGGTGAAAGAAGGAGATACCTTTAATGCAGCTTTCCTACTGTTAAATAGATATCTCATTCCCCTTTTCAAAAAAACAAAACAACTATTAAAGTGACAAAATGACAACAACAAATAGACAAAGAGAAATATTAGAGGCAACTCAGACCTATTGTCCATCATGTGCCTTTCCTTCTGGTGTTGCCCTAAAAGGCTGTTGGGTTGAGGGAGAGCTGTTCTTCACAGGTTTCCTTCCCTCCCCCGCCTAAAGAGGGCTTTACTTTCACCAGAAAATGTTTCTTGAAGAAAAGAAGAGCACCAAAAAAAACAAAACAAAAAAGCCCACAACCAAACAACTGTGATATATCCAGCACAAGTGTTGTGCCGAACTCTGAGAAGTGCCACCTTGCTTTTCGTCTTTCTGGGGTTTGAGCAGTTGTGTGTGGAACAGCTGCATCGTTGCAAGCCCAGGGCAGGTGGCCCCAGCCAGACGCTTGCCACTCACAGCCGCAAAGCTGAAAAATCTGACCAGTTCCTTGATAGTCCGAAAATGTTTGTGAGTTCCAGTTTCTCCTCATTTCACTTTTCTATGATGGGAAGTAAAAACCCAGTTCAAAACTGCTGAGTGGCTTTTCCATGTCTGCGTTCGAGAAATCATTTTCACCGTCATAAAAAAATATTCACACCACTAAAAAAAACCCCCATGATTTCCTCTGCCCCCTGTACGAAGGCCAGTGGTTTTGCATCACCATCCATGACATCATTTGACTCTTTTAGAGAAGTCTAACTGCAGTTCTGGGTTGGGGTCTGCTTAAATAGAAGTTCAACGTCTTTGGCTCTCGCAAGAGAAGGATTTTCCTCTCCGAAACAAGTCCAAAGTGCCATCGTTGCAATGCCAGGTCCTTTTAAGTCCTGTTGTCTTTCCAAGGGCTGCGGGGCCACGGTGGGCTTGGAAAAGGGCAAAGGGGATGTGAGAGTCTTTGTGTCAGCACATCAGCTCAGAAGAGATCCACCACAGAAGGAGTAACGGCGAGCTGCAAACCAAGATCAGAAGCTGTTACAAACTGACCCGATTTCAGCTGTGAATGCCACCATGTCTATACAGGCAGAGATCTACAGGGGAGAGCCAGGGGAAGAAGAGTGAAGGACAGCTCTAAAACCAGTATAGATCCTTGCTTTTATCCTGAGGCTGCAAACCTGAGAATGGAGAGAAGAAAAAAAGGAAGAGAAGAAAAATAGGTACAGGCATTTAAGGACAGAGAAAGACAAACCACATTTCTGCCAGCTGAGATCAGAGAATCTGTCTGAAGCCTGGGCTCCCCAGAGCTCTGAGAGGATGAGGGGCAAGGAGAAGAGCCTGAGCTAGGCTGGAGACACACACATGTCCCTCCTGCTTGAAGTGAGGCCACCATAAGGAGCTGTTTGTGGCTGTGATAAACAAACTTCAGCATGGAGAACTGTGATCAGAGCGGATTTCCTTGCCTCTGCAGCCACTGACTTCAGACCTGCCATGGCTAGCTATCACCACTGTGAGCACACAGCCTTACTTCAAGGCACCCCACCAGGCGCAGGGTATCATTACTAGGGGAAAACCATTGCCCTTTTTGCTCAGCAAAAGCAATTGTGCTTTTCTCCCAAAACCTGCAAGAACAAAATAAACAAAGTGAAGAGGCGGATCATGAACCTTTGAGGGGTCTAGAAATGACAACAGAATCTGCTGTGGCTGCCCTCTCTCCTGCCTTCAGAGCAACCTATGGGGAAGCCAGGTGGTGACCTTTGCGGTGGTTCAGTCCTGCTCCTTGCTCTCGCTGCTCCAGGCAAGAGCAGGGCCAGGACCAGGACAAGAGTACCTTAGAGCAATCTGTACCTCCAGGGCATGGTTTTGGGTGCCAGAAATTCAAAGGATATTGGGGAGGGTGGGGTGACGTCTTACTCTGCCTGATCCTCCCTCTTCCCATCCTCACTTGCCTGGCCTGAGACTGTGCAGAGGTCATGTATCTCCCATGCGCTTTCCAGTTTATTCTCCCACAGCAGCACCCCAGCTGCCCCACAACAGGAGGTCCTTCCCTACTACTATGGATGGTGTGGAGGCAGGGTGCGACTGAGCCAGTGGACCCAAAGCGACAGAGGGCAGCTCTTTACCTGTGTCTACATTGAGGCTGAGGCTCTGTGCCATTTCCCCCGCTGCATTGGGGAAGGGTCCTGGTGTTGTCCAGGCCGCGGCAGCTCCCGCCTCGCTCTTGCCCAGTTCACAGGGGGGGCTGACCGGTGTGGGCACGGAGCCGGGGGTGAGGCGGTGGGGACGGACAGAGGCGGTGGGCACCAGGAGTGAGCCGTAACGGGGGTCGAAGTGGGGGCCGTAGACCTCGTGCATGGTGGCAGGGCGGGGGTAGGCGGTGCTCTGTGTGCCGATGTAGGGGTGATGATGGTGCTGGTGGTGGTGGTGATGGTGAGCGTGGTGCCAGGGCTCCGGGCCGCCCTGGTGCAGGTGGCCATGCAGGGAGGCGGGTGCGTAGGGGTCTGCAGCGGCAGTGAAGGGCAGCTCGCTGTGAGTGGCAGCAGCCAGGGGGCTGCTCAGGGTGGCCGGGACCGAGGAGGGCTGGTACGTGCTGTTCCAGAAGGATGGCGGGAAGATGCGCTGGCTCATTGGGAAGGAGCCATCTGGGTCAAGGGAGCAGGAGAGAAAGGCAGTAATGAGTACACCCAGCGAGCCCTGATTGCCTTTCTCTAGGGCTCTGCCCCTCTATTATTCTCCCAAACCAGCCTTCATATTCCCTTTACCCGCCCCAAAACTGACAAACACAGGAAATTGCTCCCAACAGCTACAGATTCCTCTGCAGCTAAACATCCAACACACCTAGCCCAGGGTTTATCCATGAAACTGGAATCATTTGCTCCAGGTTTCTCTATGTATGTATTTGGGGAAAAGGCTGTTATCTAAGGTGAGGAAAACATCTTTTCCTCAGTAGTGGAAACTGAGTGAGAGCTATTACACATCACAGCAATGTCCAGGGTTGGACTTTTCTTGTTTGTTTTTGTAGTAATCTTATGCTCACCCTGGCCCTGCCAAGGAAAGCGGCTGCTGTGGGCAGGAGCAGCGTGAGGTGCTACTAAGGGCCAGCCTGAGTTTTCTAAATATCTAGGAGCAATTCCTCATCTATTACACCGGACTAACGCCTGTTTCTTGGGTGTATCATTAACACCTTTTGAAAGCACTGCAGATCTTTGGAGACTAGCAGGGCAAAGGAGAAGGACCCTACATTTTCTTTTCCGGGTAAGCAACATGTGAGATAGACTAGTGATTATTAATAGCACATATAGATGTTATGCATTATTAATTGGGATTAATTGCGCTATCCCTGAGACAGTGACAACTGTCTCCGAGACAAAAACACACTCCTGATACATGTTTGCCAGGGAGATACACCAGCTCTGCGCCCCGGCAGGAGAAGGCAAAGTGGTTCATGACAATCAAAGAACTCTCTTCTCCTGCCATCAATTCCAGCACTGAATAACTTTCATCCATGAAATATTTAAACTACTTTTTCATTCTTAGAAACTACCGGCAGCAATTCATGAAGGGGCTTGGAAACTGGCCTCGGCCGAGTGGGTGGCCCTGAGAGGGATGGTCACCAAAACTGCTCCAGAAGAAAACAAGTGCCTGTCCTAACTGTCTGATGGGTGGAGGGTGGGGAAGGTTATTCCCCTCTGCCCTGGGTACCCCCACAGGCCCATCCAGGGTGAATTGGGCATGGCTATGAAGAGCTGCACATCATCTGCGGCCTTGTCTGCACAGGGCTGCTGCCATGGGCAGGTCTGAAAGCCCTCATTTTCAGAAATTTAGGGTCCTTGTCTCAACTCCAGCAGCAACCAGGGTGGTGACACACGTAGGGTGACAATCTGTTTTTTTAGGAATGAGAAGCTGGTAAGATGGTTCCCACATTTGCTTTTTTTTTGCCTTGTTCCCATTATCGATTATGACTGCGCTAAACTTCAATCTGCCCGGGTCAGCAGGTAAGCCGGTTGCTGCAGCCACGGTGGGGGAGTCCCTCCACCAGGTGAGTCACCGAGTGCGTGTGTTCACACGCTGCGGTGTGAAGGCTATTCAGTTCCCCCACCGCCTCCCAGGCTGCATCTCCCAGGATCACCGCAGCCTGCCGTGACCTGAAGAGGTTGATTCTATTCTTTTTCCCCCCGAAAAGGGCCGTGGAGCTGCTCCCGGTCCCAGGGGCAGCCCGCTGGGGTCCCGCCGCCGGCGAAGGTAAGGAGGGAGAGAGGAGAAGGGAGAGTGGATGCGCGGCGGGGGAAAGAATCGGTGCTGGCCCGGAGGGGACCTCGCCGCCTCTCGGAGCCCTTCCGCGCCGTGCTGCGCCCTCACCCCGCCAGGAGCCGGCGTTCCGCGCTGCCTTTGCGCTGCCGAGCGAGAAGCTGCTGGGCTGGCTGAGCGCCCGGCTGAAGTGCTCGTCCACCACGGTGCTGATGTCCCCCTGGAAGTAGGTGAAGAGGACACAGCGGGAGTTGATGTACTCGGCCTCCGGGGGTCGCTCCTTCTCGGGGCTGCAGTCCTCCTCTTTGATGCTGGCCGCAGGGTGGCTGGAGAAGGAGCTGCTGGCGCTGGCGCTGCTGCCGCTCTCCGGGGCTTCTTGCATTTTGGAGTAAAAGGCGAGTTTCTGGGAGGGGGGGGAGGAAGAAAGGAAGTTAAATATTGCCGGTCAGGCAGCGCAGCGCAACAAGGTACGCTGGCCCTCCCTGTACCAGCCGGAACGCAGCGCCCTGGCCGCTCCCGCGATCTTTCCAACAAGATGCAGAAGCCTGGTCCTCGGCTGTCCGCCGTGCCCCAGCAGCACCCCCTACACCTTGGCTGCCTTTTTGCCCTACCCCGGGGAGGCAGCGAAGGGGCTGCCAAAGGGGCTAAGGGTCCGAGCCCCAGAGGTGCCCACCAGGACGGAGCGGGACAGCAGGCGCGGGTCCCGAGAACGAAGTCCCGCACGAGAAGCACGGTGGAAATTCATGCGGGGCTGCCAAAGGGTCGAGGCAGGGCGTGGGGAGGCGGCGGCCGTCCAGAGCTAGCAGCGGGAGTTAAGAGGGGACCTCGCAAAATCTGCCCCAAAGACTGTCCTGTGACCCAAAGCGGCGAGTAGAAAGGGAGGGGAGAAAAAGAGTGGCAGTCTCAAACACATTTCAGGGTAAAAAAAAGCATTTCCCTGGCCAGCAAGAAGCTCCAGGTATTTCCTAGAAGATTACTCTGTTTTTACTGGATCCCTCTGGGTGGGAAAACAGCGGCAGTTACGAAGTTTATTGGACGTTTCCCATCTTCTCTTTATCCACATTAGCGTGTCTGCAGCTGCCGGGAGTTTCTCAGGAATAAGCGATGGGACCCGGAGCTTGGGCTTGGCCACCGCGGGCAGAGCCGCGGGACGGGCGGCTGGGGAAGCACCGTGGGGACCAGGCAGAGCCTCGGGCCAAAACACACGGGATATTCAATAATGTCACTCCTTCGTGACGACCGCCTTTCCACTTGGCTCCCGGCTCGGCCATTGAGGTAATGATCATCCCCCCAAATAATGTCACGAAGCCGCGTGCCGGGGGGTGATGGAGGGGGCTGATGAGGGAAGAAGCCAAGGTAGGGGAAGACATCATTTGCTATTTGTAACGGGTATTCCGGCCCCGCTGCCAGGCGCTGGAAGTAGCACACAGGCCACTACGCCGTGGGCTGCGCGGAGCAGGACCTCTCGCTCCGGCCCCGGCCCTGCACGGCGGGGGCTGCCGCCCACCCCGGGCCCTGCGTGCTGCTCCCTCTGTCCATCCCTTTCTTTGTTTCGCTGGGGAGGAAGGAGTTAATTTATGGAAGGAATAAGGGGGAATTGAAAAGGAGAAACCCAGAAGGCGAAAGGGAGAGCGGTGTGCAGCAGGTGCAGCAGGGGAAACCAGCCCCGACCCACTCGGGACCGAGCGCTTTCCGCGGAGATCAGTTCCCCGCGCCCGATATGACCGCGGACCCTTCCATTGCAGCTCGGGGCCGATCGCCTCCCTCACGGCCCGGCGGAGCTGCCGGCAGAGCGGCGCTCAGACGCGCCTCCCCGCCACGAAGCGCCCTCGGGTCTCGCAGCTGCCGCCACCGCCGGGAGCCTGGTGGGGTCAGGGGACGGGCCGGGGTCCTCCCGTCGCCGAGCGGGACCCTGGAGAGGGGAGCATCTGCTCGCCCTGACGCACCGCAGGCTTCCTCCCCCACTGCCCAGCCGGGGAAACCCCACAACAGCCCAGCCCATCGCCCCCCCGCCACTTCCAGAGGTAACTCCGGAGCCCCCCTCCAAGGTGGCATCTCTGGCGAAGTGGCTCCCGCCGCTGCGGCCGGGATGCGGCGCGCACGTGTGAGCAGTGCCCCGGGCCCCTCCGCACCGCGGCCATCGCCGCTCCGGGCCGCCGCGCTCGGGTGGACCCAGTCCCGGCAAAAGGCGGGTAGGGGAGGGGGAGTGGGGAAGAAAGTAAAAAAAAAAAAAAAAAAAAAAAAAAAAGAAGAAAAAAATTTCCCTTTAAAGCCACAGCAGGGTTAAATCGCGCTCTCACTCCCGAGGCAGCCCGCAGTCCTTCGGTCGCCGCCGGGGTACGTACCCTGTCGAGCCCCGCGCCAAGGTGGGATGCGGTTCTGCTCTGCTCACCATCGCAGGCTCCCAGATCTTCCGGCCCCTCTCTCCCCCTTTCCCCTCCCCTTCTCCTCTTCCCTTTTTCCTTTTGGTAAGGCCCCAAACGGCCATCCTCCAGACGACACCCCTCCCACCCTCTGCCTCTTCCCCGCTGCCCCCAGCGCGTACCTGGGGATAGGGGCTATAGGCTGCTGCGAAGTAGGGCTGGGGAGGACCGTAGACCTGGTACATAACATCCAGACAGCTCATGGCTAGCCGCCGCCGAGAAGTGTTTTTTCCCTCATCAACTCCTGTTCTGCAGAGTTCTGCAGAGTGGAGCCGTGCTTCGCGGGAGGGAGGTTGCCGGGAGTTAAGAGGCACCACTCACTGGTGGGAGGAGTGAGGGGTGATGAGACCGCGCTCGGCTGGGATGACCTCCCCCCCCCCCCCCCCCCCCCCCCCGCCCTCCTCCCCTGCCTGCCTCCCTCCCTATACCGCCGCTCCCTCCCGCAAAAGCTGCGGGGCCGAAGGGACTTCGTGCCCTCCGGGGGAACGTCAGCCCTGCGCCCGGCGGGTGGCAGGGGTGGGGGGAGCCGGGGACAACCCCCTCCTGCAGCTGGGGCTGCCCGGGAGCAGCGGTACGGGAGGTGCGGGGGGAACTTTTGTATCCGGGAGGAACCCACCGGCGGCGAAGAGCCGGAGGGGCCCGGGGAGGGTCGGCGAGGCAGCCCCTATCTCTGCGCTGCACTTCCTTTCCTTTCGTTTCATTTCATTTCATTTCATTTCATTTCATTTCATTTCATTTCATTTCATTTCATTTTACATTTCATTTCATTTTTCATTTCATTTTATTTCATTTCTTTATTTCATTTCATTCTCACCACGTACGGTGCCGTTGCTGCCCCGCTGCCGGGATGCCCCTGCTGTCCTCCGCGTTGTGGGTCCCCGCTGCCGACCGGGAGGAAGTGGGGCTCTGGGAGAGGCAGGGGTCTCCCTAAATCCCACCGAGTCCTGGGACCCGCGGGAAATGCCACCGCCAAGGCCTGATGAGCCGAAGAAGGAAAACTCAGTTGCTTCCGAGGAGGAATCTCCCCAGAAACTTTGAATCATTACAAATTCCGGGAACCGCAATGCTTTTGCATTTAAGAGAAACTAAACCAACGCCGAGGGGAAAGGCACGTGAAAAGAGCAAGTTACCGTGAAGGTAAACTGGATTTACTCGCTAGCTTTCTGCAGAGTACGACACATAGAGGTTTAAACAGGTGAATGTGTCTGAACTATTCACGTTGATGGAGATGCACAGGAGGTAGATCGGTCTCTAGGAGGGGTGCGAGTTCTCATTTCAATATAAATTCTTTGAAACGTCCAGCTCCATGGTACGGGTCACACCTACTGTGAGAAGCGACGCGTTTTAAAGTGCATTCTAAGCATTTACAGTAAAGCAAAATAATACAGACAGTATGAGAGAAAGAGTATTACTTGCTTTTCCAATGCTGGCTATTTACAAAACTATGGGAATAAAACTGAAAAGAATGAACACTGAATTAAGCCCTGGAAAATCTTTACATGATTTTTAGCAGAGAATCCTTATAATTAAAAATTACTCTTTGACTCTATTTTATTTCCCCCAAAATGTAATTTTTTGTATTCCAAGTTCTAGGAATTGTTCTGAATGCCTGTCCTTCACCAAAACCGGATTTCAGGACCTAATGATCATATTTCATTTTGTTCCGCACTAGGTGCAAGGTTTAAAATTCATATTTAAACATCACACACACCACCCCCACCTCCGGCCCCTTCTTGTTTGGTAAATTTACTTTTTCTACTGCATTATGCCCTGGAATGCCATGGCTGTGGGGCTCAGCCCCAGTCCCTCTCCTTTCCCCACCAGGGCAAATTTTGTCTGTGCTCAAGAAGAAAATAAGGGGGGGGGGGGGGAGGGGAAAGAACGGTTGGTATTAGGCCTTAAAAAAAGAAATGTGCCTCATACTCTATCATTTTAGCTCTCCTGAGCAGCAAGTGGATAACCATGGTACAGAGGACTCGCACTGTGGCTGGCATCCAAAATAAGGCAGTCAGCTGAAGAATAACCCTCCACTCCTTGCAGTGAGGGACGGAGGGACCTCACCTAGGACACTGGGACCTTGCTTCTCCTGCATGTCCCTGATCCTGAGAGGTAGGGAGTTTTCCCACCTCACAGAAACCTGTGCCTCTGTCAAAGGTAACAGTACTGTGCAGCATACCAAAAAAAAAAGCCCATTTCTCAGAAGGTGAGTCTATGAACACATACTACAAAGACACAACATACTTCCCCTCCCTTCTCCAATCACTGCAACAGCAAAGGCAGGATCTGATACTCACCAAGGCTGAAGGTTTGCTTCTTGTGAAGAACAACATGAAGTGGAACAGCAACATGGGCAGCTAGGTGCTGTGATACAGCAGATGGTCTGGCTTGTGTCCCCTGGAGAATCAGTCTGTGAGGGCTGAATTTAGGGGTCTTACAGAATTTCAAGTATACATTAGGGGAATCAGGTCTAATGTGGCTTGGTATGAATTCAGTTTCTTTTATAAACAGCTGCTTGACTGTAAAACTGTCCAGCATAAGACACAAGCAAATTCCAGTGCCTGAATGCAGAGCAGTCTAACATTCATGCAAAAGTGTTGGTGTGGTTTTGCCTTCTCTGTGAAATCAGCCCTGGTATAGGAAATTATCCTGGAAACCAAGGTCTAGGAAATTGTCTTGGAAACTAAGGTCAGAAACTATATTTACTAATGATCTCACTGCATATTTACAATTATATAGAAATAGTTTTTCTTGGTCCTAACTAAAGAATTTTAGGTGGGTTGAGTCACACAAGAAACTACAAAGGCTTGGGAAAAAACAGCTGAGATGTATCAGAGAGAAAATTATGACAGCAATGAAGGAAAGCACACTTTTAGGAAGGACGTGTTAAGAATTGGCTGTGTACTATTAAAACACTGGCATGGGCTTACTCCAGCTATCATACACTGGTAATGTTCACAGCAGAAATGCAGAAAGAAAATCTTGTTAGGAATAAAGAATGATGGGTTCTGAATAAACAGTGAGATGCAGAAAGTTACAACTCGCCTCTGAAAATGTTCTTATAAAGAAAGTCAATGCTACCTCCTAACTAAGCTGAAACCTTTCACAAAAGAAGAACTGGGTATTACCATGAATGGCTTCACTAGACAAGCAAACACATCATCAAACAAAACATCCACATTCAGAAAGACTGGGACAAAAAAGTCATGGAAACATGATAGCACCGGCCATATTTGTTGCTCACCTTCCCTGGAAATCCTATATCCAGTGCCAGCCTGCCAGCGCCCAGGGTGCAAAAGCTTGAGCAGTGAACACCATATTCAATAAAAGGATTAAGCATTTTTTAGCCAGAAGGGACCCTCATGGTGTTGATAATACACTTTTTTAGAAGCCCAGGGAGACTTGTGCTGTTTCCAGAAAGGTACACTTTCCCAACTGAAAGATACAAGGAAGTGGATGGAGAATCCAGCCCTTGCTGCAGACTTTTGCTGCTGTGCTCAGCTGCTTTCAGTTGTCCTCACTTCCAGCTTGAGCTGGGCTGGCTTTGGTTTCCAGCTGTTTATATAATGCCTTACTTCATTTAGCCAAACAGTCTTTTTGTATGTAATATTTTCTCCTATGAAACTTATTTTATTCCACATAATAATCTTTCTTTTTCTCTTTCAGCCAAGACAGATATAGATCTTTGATTTTCTACAGCAATTTCTCCAGTCCTCATATAATGTTTGCACCTTTTTTCTTTGCACCCTGTGCAATTTTTCAACATTGTTTTAAAAATATTGATACAAGAACATGATATTATTCCAAGATGTCTTTTGCTGAAGGTATACACAAGGTAAAATACCTTCTTAGCAACTGGTGCTCACAGCAGTCGGATTTTTTTGCTACAACACAATTTTAAAGACACATCATGCTGACGTGCTTTCCCGCTGTGATCAC